ATGTGATTTTTGGGTGAAGTATAATAGGTGGTGATGAAGAAATACAGGCATTTGAGGAGATTTTGCGGAGCATATACATCTATGTACAGTAGAACTCGATAAAATAATACTTGATAAATTAATAACCTCGATTAATGATAGTTTCTCTCGGTCCCGACTCGATGAAAACGTGTTAAATTATTAACTCGATAATTTAATAATTCGCTAAATTAATAGAATTTCCTAGATTCCAACTGTATTAATTTATAGAGGTTTAAATGTATGATTATTTGGTGATCAATTTGAAGAGCTATAGCTTATAAGTTTGGGGATATGATTAATTAGATGGAAGAGATGAGAGAAGTCTGTAGTAATGTGTGAATGGAGTTTGTTTTTTCTTTACCAAATAGTGAATTCACCACAACTAGGAAATGCAGTCAACTCAACTTGTATGGAGGAAAATTCAAGTCCACCAACTTGCAGAGGAAAATGATTGATATCACATTTTCTAAAAGAATTAATATAGTTGTTTGAAGAAACTATTGGATCATCAAGCAATAAAAAGATTTTTGGAAGATATATTGATGGCTGAAGATTGATGTGTGTGTGTGTGGAAGGACCGAGTCTTCTTCGCAATAATTAAACAAGTAGTCTACCGTGAAATTTACGCTTGTGTGAGTCGAGTAATTCAAAAGGGCAACACCACACCAATCACCATCCGAGCTAGGACAACTATCGTCATGATTAAGGAAATAGTCGAGTAATTTCCGTCAAATTATATTGTAATCAATTTTTATTTTTTGTTGAAAAAACATATAAATCACTATCTCATCTGGTTCTGTATTGTTGTAAAATAAAACTCTAGTCTGCCAATTTGAATTACATGCACATAAATAAAGATTAATAATGTCTTCCTTTATTTTCTTGCTTTTGTTATTTCCACTTGTTGCAGTAGTAGTAGTGCAAGGAGTCGTTGAAGATTGTACGCCAATCAGATGCAGTAAACATAGCCCGATAATTCGGTTTCCTTTCAGACATCAAACTCAGCAACCTCAGCACTGCGGCTATCCGGGTTTCGATCTAAACTGCGACCACAAAAACGATACTATTCTTGTGCTTCCGTTCTCCGTAAATGTTGTTGTGAAGGAAATCAACTATGCATCTCAAACAATTCTTGTTTATGACCCAGAAAATTGCCTTCCACAAAAGCTACCCCATCTAAACTTATCTACCTCATCCTTCAACTTCCATATCAAACATGATGACTACTTAATGTCAGACGCCGCCATTTATACATGTTCTGATGCAGACAAATCTTTGTATCGCTTCGTTCCTTGCCTTATTGATCCCATCAACAAATACTATATTTTTAATAACATACAAGAATTGACTTCTTGTACAAAGATTCATGATATTCCACGTGTTATTCCATGGAGTATAACCGATAAAAACGGCTTCCGTTTGGGGTGGTCTGAGCCAACATGTGGCCACTGTGAAGCTCAAGGCAAACGATGCAGCTTATATAATTCAACCAGACTTGATAGTATTCACTGTATCGACATAATTCATCATGGTACGTTTTATCTCATCCCATTTTTCAATTGGAGCTTATTGCATTTACTACCTCTGTGAAAATCGTTTCCCCTGGTCATAAAAAAATTAGCAAAAATTCCCTGTATTTATTTTTAAGACAACATACTCAGACTCATTTATATTTTCTCCATTGACCGGTTGTGAAGCGACCGAAATACCCTGGGGACCAAATTAAAGTTTTGAAAATTTTAATCAAATAATTCAGGGGACTGAATTGTAATTTTCTGAAAATACATAATATTTATAAAATATTATGTATTTCTTTATGTCATATTTTCATAAAGGGGCATGCTAAATCCCACACTAAAATTTACTAAATCCCACACATAAATTAAAAAAAAAATCTCTCTCTAACTTTTTTCTATGATGATTTTTTCCATGTCACTCAAAATTCGTTAATCTTTCACGTGAATAGTCATAAAAAGTGAGTTTAGGTTTATTATATTTAATATTTTTCAATTTCATTATGTCTTTTTTATTCTTTAAATTCATATTAATTCGAATTTTTTTCTCAAATTCCAACTTTATTTTAGTTTGAACACATGAAGATTTTTCTCAAATTCGAACTTGGAATGATATGGACGTTTTTAGTGCGTGGTTTTGTGAAAAAGTTAGGGAAAAAGAAGAAGGGTGGGGAAGGAGAAGATGAGATTTTAGGGAGAAAAATTTTCAATTGTGTGTATGATTTGGAAAAATTGGTGTGGGGTTTAGCATATCAGTTTTATAAATACCAAATATTGCTTTAAAAGTATTTATAATTTAATAAATTTAAATCAAAGAAAATGCAATGAAAATATTTTGAAATAAAAAAAAGAAGAAAAAGATGTTGGGGGCAATTCCGTCATTTCACACAAAAATGAAGAAAAGTCGCAGAACCCACGAGTGACACACGATTTCCGATGAGGGGGGTTGTCATCTTTCACTAATGAATACGGAGTATTTGCTATTCTTTTAATGACGCGGAAAACATGCAGTTGCAATTTTCATAAGAGTAAATGCAATAAGCTCTTTTTATTCGGTATAGATTATCATTTGTCTAAAGAAATATTTTGCTTGTTGGTTACAGAAGCACTGAAGAAGCGACTGATTGCAGGTAAACAATTTCATGCTTTTAATAATATTATTATTATTCATCTCAAAAAAAAAAAATTATTATTATTCTAGTAGATGGGTTCTAATCTAACTTATGAATTTTGTTTCAAAGGTTTTGGTTGCTTTCTTGCCGTGATAATCCTCGTCGCTCTCTTCTATCAATACATTAGATTTAGAACTGGCAGGGAGAATCAAATCAAGATTGAAAAGTTTTTGCAAGATTATCGAGCCCTTAAGCCGAGTAGATTCTCTTATTCTGATATAACAAGGATTACTCATCAATTTCGCGATAAATTAGGTGAAGGGTGTTATGGAGTTGTTTACAAAGGAAAGTTGAACAATGAAATAGATGTTGCAGTTAAAGTACTAAACAATTCCAAAGGAAACGGAGAGGAGTTTGTGAATGAAGTAAGCACGATTGGGAGGATACACCACGTCAACATCGTCCGTCTTGTTGGCTTTTGTGCTGATGGATTTCGAAGAGCGCTTGTTTATGAATTTCTACCTAATGATTCCCTCGAAAAAATCATTTTTCAAGCAGGTTCTAAGAAAATATCTCTAGATTGGGAAACGCTAAAGGATATTGCGCTAGGCATAGCCAGAGGCATAGAATATCTTCACGAGGGATGTGATCAACAAATACTCCATTTCGACATAAAGCCGCAAAACGTATTGTTAGACCACAACTTCAACCCGAAGATCTGCGATTTTGGTCTTGCGAAATTGTGCTCAAAGGAACAAAGTGCAGTGACAATGACTGCGGCTAGAGGAACAATGGGCTATATTGCACCTGAAGTATTGTCCAGGACTTTCGGGAGGGGTTCGTGTAAGTCTGATGTTTATAGCTTCGGAATGTTGTTGCTTGAAATGGTGGGAGGGAGGAAAAACGAGGATCGTATTGTAAATAATACTAGTCCGGTATATTTTCCGCAGTGGATTTACAATCATATAAATGCGGAGGATAATTCCATGTGGGAACAAATTGATGAAGAAGGAAGTATTATAGCAAGGAAACTTAGTATAGTAGGGTTGTGGTGTATACAGTGGTATCCGACAGATCGTCCGTCAATGAAAGTTGTGGTTCAAATGTTGGAAGGAGACAATGGCGATCTCACAATGCCTTCAAATCCATTTCCAGCTACTACGAATTCCGTTGGTGCCGGGCATTATCAAACTGAGATGGCTATCATATATATATATATATATATATATATATATATATATATATATATATATATATATATATATATATATATATATATATATATATTTCTCTTTTATCTTCCATTGTATAATTTGGGTCTATTGATATTTTATCATTTTTTATGTACCTTTTTTGTTTTGGCAAAAAAAAGTTGTTGTGTGAAATGGGACCTCCTGAAGACCTTGTTTGACGTAACAAGGAAAGTGCACTCATAGTTACTTACAAAATCGATCCACATGGATTACATGTACATTCACTAGTCAACATTTGTATAATAATCTTAGCTAATTACTTTTTAAATATGTAACTCATAATTTGGTGGAACTACAGTGCAAGTCTTTCTGATTTTGGATTGGCAAAAGATGAGCCAACTGGAGATAAAGTCATGTTTCGACAGAGTCATGGTAACCTATGCCGTGATGACATTTTGTTTTTTAGATTTGAAATTTTCTTTGCAAGAAACATGGGGATGTTTGGCTATGTTTCTAGTGGGATTTTCTAATTTTCATAATTTCTGATTGAAAAGGTAGATATATTGGTTTTTGTGTAGAAAATGATTGACGAAGTAAAATTTTTAGTTTTATATATGTGTGAAATGAAAATATGTTTGGTTGTGTGTACGTGCAAAAGTAGAATATATATGATTGGATATGATTGTGATGATGATGATGTTAGTTATTATTATTATTATTATAAGGTTAAAAGAAAGAGAGGGAGGGTGGAGTTATTAATGAGGAGAGATAAATGGGAGTGGAGAGAGAGAATGTGGATTTTTAATGAGGAGAGCGAAATTGGGAAAAGATAAAGTGTATATTTTTAGTGGTTATAGATGAACAGAAGGAGAGAAAAATAAGCCGAATAAATAAAATATATTGCTCCCTAGGTTTGACAGCTGGAAAAAATATGAATAGTGTTTCCTGACTTCCACAAAAACAACATTTTATTGTCACACAAAATTTGCTTGGACACTAGCACCGCGCCTTGGGCGGTATTCAGCGATATTGATTTATTCCCTGAAATCTATATTATTATTTGAGGTACGGACAACAATAATTATGAATAAAGACTTAAATGGAAAAACCATAAGGGGAGTTAAAGAAATCTTACTGAGAAAAATACTGAAGATCTCAATTGGCACTCTGAGTCGACCTGCATTTTCAAGAATTCAGTAAGAAGAACAAGAATTTAAAATTGAAACAATTAATTTATATTACTTATAACAATTATGTAGTTGATGAGTGAAAATTAACGAATAATCTTACCAATCCAATTTTGCTCAAAACACGTAGCACTGTCGCCATAAAACCAACAATTAAGACATTCGTCGCCACAGAGCACATTGAACCACGCAAGTTCGAACCCGTACGTCAAACAACTATGGACTTGCGAGAGACTAGACAACGTACTACGCTTCATATTCAACGAAGCCATCACCATTAGATCTACTCTGCACGAATATCCATTAAGAACGAACCGTCAAAGCACCGAACTTTATGTACGTAGTACGCCCGTTAAATTTTCGGTCCGCACAATTAGGACCATATTCATCAACTTTATAAAGAACATCTGAATTATTATTACTGATGTTATTGACTGTGCCGTTAGGACAGCTCATGAAAGTAATTGCGGATGTTATATCGGGGATTTCTCCGACATACCATGAACCCAAGTATCTGTTGATGCTGTAAGCATCACCCCCACTAAAATTGTAGCCCGATAGAGAGTTGTTGGGGAAAGAGCAAGTGTCGTTTTCAACTACGGAAGCATCGGTAATGCAAATTGTGTAGTTGGCGTAGTTGATCGATTGTACGAGGTACTTTTGAGAGTTTGAGGTATAGTGAAGTTGTATTGTTTTCGCATGAAAGTTCGTACTTGGGATAACCACGGCGTTTTGGATCGGTATTGAGCCTGAAAGGATAGCTAATATTGCGAATTTCGCCACATGAAGAAGGGTACAATTAATTTGGTTTCCACGGGATTTTTGGATGAAATATAATTGGATGGTTGTTGAGTGTAGATTTTACACTCAATACCTTTACTTTACGTGAATCTTTTGTTTAGATTTAATTATATTTGTGCTTTAATTGATTGATTTTGTGTTTTATAGGTGGAAAACGGGAATTAAGGGTCCATCAAGGAAAAAAACTGAAAAAGAAAGGAAAAAGTTGCAAATAAGGAAGTAAATCAAATTGGAAGAATGAATCTCGCAACAGGTTTGGTAGTGTCCACCATTTTGAGCATATCTCACTCAAACGAACTCCAAATCACTTGATTTAAGCGGCATTGGAGAGCTAGTTTCAAGGTCAAAATCGGATTCAAAACCGACCGAAGTGCAGACAAAGCTTCGGACGGCCGTCCC